AAAAAACATGTTAAAACACCTTCAAATGAACGGACTTCTTCGCCTTGCGGTTCCTGCACCATTCAGTTCATTCAAGTCAAGTGGGACTTCATTTTGAACCTAGCTCTTGCGAGCAACCATCCAAGTGTGTGCGTGTGTGTGAATGTGTTTCGTGGCTTGGCATGTTGGCATTGCGCATTTATTGTCGGAAACCACACAACTTAAAGCTTTGACTTGCACTAGACAGTCACAATTCACGACCATTCTGCGTGGCAATGCTGGTGCTTAACCTTCGAGGTGTATATAATAGAGTGCCCTGGAAACGACTTAGGCTTTCTTTGGGTAAGTTGGCTTGGCTCATTATGTTCAGCGGACTCAAACAACAGAAAAGCAGGTGGTTCAAGAAACAAATGTAAAGGCAAACAAAAAAGGACTGCAACGAAAAGCATTTGAGAGAGCAAGCAAAAAACTAGCAACGCGAGGAATGCTCAAACAATCTTAGCTTAGCTTGTTCAAATCAGTTGAAGATCATTCCAGTTAGTTCAGCTGGCTTGCGACTACAAATTGAGTATTATTGTGATCGTTGGCTGCTCGGAGATTTTGAAAAAGTTCAAGCAAAAGGGTGACAATATCTAGGAATCTAGGAAAAAAAATCATTAGTGCGAGCGCTTCTTCAAGGAAGCGTGAGCTCGCGTCCAGCTACTAGAAGCTAACTAGTAGCTATTAGTAGCTATTAGTAGCTACCTCTTCTACTGGCTACTTCTTCGGCCTACCCCCCCCCCGCGGGCTTTTAATAAAGTCAATGCTTGGTGCTCTTGTCTCCTGGGTGCCCATGCGGACTGGGGCAGCCCAATATATGGACGGCTGCAGCCAGCGGCCAGTAGACTCTGCCAGTCCACCCCAGCTGTACGCAATCACCTGATCCTGATAAGGCAGAATTAACGCTTTGTATATCAATTGGAAGTGTTCATCTTTGCCCTTCAATCGGAAGGAGAGATCTAAAACAAGTCCATTTGGGTGCTTGCCCTGAGCTTAGGCTTTGGTTGGTTTGGGGTGCATGAGAGTTTGGGAGTCTAATTTCTGTGTCTCCAAACCTACATTAAGTAGTCGAAAATCTCTGCATAGTCCCACCCAAACTGAGTCGCTGACCCAACCTTTGTTGAACTGCCAGCCCCCCCCAGTCATGGTTACCCAGCACACCCAGCCACTGCTTGCCATCGATGCCAGGACCCTGTCAGCAATGTCTCAAAGTAAAAGAGTTGTGACTGGGGTCAGATTCTGTTTGTTTTATAAACAGAATACAGCGAAGAAAAAAGAAGAGAAGGGACCCTTTAATGCATCTTTATATACATATATATATATATATGTCCTTGTTTATGCCCAACACAGCCACTAGGGAGCGTAGGTGGGTGGGTGCTTCGAAACGAGTGTATCAGTGGGCCTTTGTGAAAGGATGTTCGAAGCACACGAAGCGCACGCCTTCCACATCTCCTCATAGATCCACTTCCACTGCTTGGTGTCGCAGCGAGCATACATGTTGCCACAGTGACAGTCCACGCCACCCCAATAGAAGTTGTCACCAACGTTGATGACCTTGCAACCACGTCATGATTAGTGCTAAAACTTGAGAAAACATATACAAACTCAAACAAACAATGCACCAAGCCTTTCATGGAATAGATCCACGAAAAAAAATACCCCGGCAAAACAAAAACAAATAGCAGCAGCACGTTACTCATACACGTAAGAACTCTCAAAAGGCCACTTGAAAGGCTGCTGCCACTAGTTCCGGCAAAGTTATTCCAATACCACCGTCAGTGCTGATTGCCGCAATCAAACACAATGAGTCTGTGCCCAGAACTCACATTAGCCTGTTGGGCCTATTGCCTGCGTCAATTAATCTGAAAGCATGTACAATATTGAACAATGCACGTTGCTGGAGAATTGCATTAGATTGGAGGCCATCGCTATTGGGTTCTACTAGGTTGGACGCATCGCTAGTAGGATCGAGGCCATCACTATCGCATGTACAATACACTTTGTTGGAGCATTGCAGCAGGTTGGAGGCCATCGCTATTGGGTTCTACTAGGTTGGACCCCATCGCTAGTAGGATCGAGGCCATCACTATCGCATGTACAATACACTTTTTTGGAGCATTGCATTAGGTTGGAGGCCATCACTATTGGGTTGGAGGCAATCCCTAGTAGGTTGGAGGCCACCGCTAGTGGATTGGAGGCCCTCGCTATCGCATGTACAATGCACTTTGTTGGAGCATTGCATTAAGTTGGAGGCCATCGCTATTGGGTTGGAGGCCATCGCTAGTAGATTGGAGGCCATCGCTGTAGTTGGAGGCACTAGTAGGTTGCAGGCAATCGCTAGTAGATTGGAGGCCATCCCTAGTAGGTTGGAGACCATCGCTAGTGGGTTGGAGGCCATCGCTATCGCATGTACAATGGACTTTGTTGGAGAA